AGAACAAGGAAAGACAAAAAGAAAGAAAGAGTGAGAGTAGAGGATAAATGCCAAAGGAAAGAGGAAGAGAAAAGCAGGAAGGCAGGGAAGGGCGCCTAGATGGTTATGGGAGATGGGAAGGGTAACCGGTGGGAGAGGTGGGAGACCTAGGATGAAGGAACACTAAGATGGCACATGCCAGGTGATGAGAGGGGAGGCTTGAAGGGGAAGGGAAGAAGAAGCGGAAAGAATCAGAAGAGAGGAAAGAGCAGAGCCAGGAAAAGAAAAGGGAAAGACACAAAGAAAGAAATAGGGAGAGTAGAGGATAAAAGCCAAACGAAAGAGGAAGAGAAAAGCAGGAAGGCAGAGAAGGGACCTTTGGATGCTTATGGGAGATGGGAAGGGTAAGAGGCGGGAGAGGTGGGAGACCTAGGATGAAGGAACACTAAGATGGCACATGCCAGGTGATGAGAGGGGAGGCTTGAAGGGGAAGGGGAGAAGAAGAGAGGGCAAACTAGAATGAAGGAGGAATCAGAAGAGAGGAAAGAGCAGAGCAAGGAAAGAACAAGGAAAGACAAAAAGAAAGAAAGAGGGAGAGTAGAGGATAAATGCCAAAGGAAAGAGGAAGAGAAAAGCAGGAAGGCGGGGAAGGGCGCCTGGATGGTTATGGGAGATGGGAAGGGTAACCGGTGGGAGAGGTGGGAGACCTAGGATGAATGGGAACACTAAGATGGCACGTGCCAGGTGATGAGAGGGGAGGCCGGAAGGGGGAAGGGGAAGAAGAAGGGTAAGTATAGATGACATCACGAAAATCGCATAGACTGTGCTGAGAAGCCTTATCGCATCCTTTCCTGTCTGAATAGTGTCTTTCCTCTGCTCCTTGTCTGGTTGTCCCTTTCTTTCTTCCAATCTTCTATTTACCCTTTCTGTTTATGGTGGCTGCTGTATGCCTTCTTAGAAGGCGCGTCTTATCATATCTTACCTAGGCCCTACATCTCTCTCTCTCTTTCTCTCCCACCCTGGCCCTCCCTGAACAAAGACATATATATGTATATATACATCATATCCCTTCCCCTCTTCTGCTCCTCTCTTCCTCTTTCCTTTGTCTCTTATTCTCTACCACCCCTTTCTTCTTCTCCTTGCCTTGCTTTTTCCTCTATTCTGATTTCTCTGTCCTTTAAGCCTGCTACAGTATCATGTTTTTTGATTCTTTTCCTTTCCCCAGTCTCCCCTCTCATCACCTGACATGTGCCATCTTTGTGGTCCACTGCTCCCCCTTTATACTATACTGTTCATTCAAAGTGGCCGGTGTTCAATGCTTTGGGTTTTTGTTATTCCTTGGCTATCATTCCTGCTTTGCTTCCTGCCTTGGTCTTCTTATATACATAGTTTGTATGAATATATAGCTTCTTTCCTCTGCTCCTTCTATTTGTTCTTCTTTTTTTGTTGCAATCTCCTGTTTCCCCTTTCTGTTTATGCGCCATCCCATGTCACCTGATTGCCTGTGTATTCTTATTGATGTTATGTATGGATGCCATCTTTGGGAGCGGCCAAATCTACTAGTTTTATCCCACCTGTTCGTTTGGCTTAGATGGATTTTTGAGCGCTTTTTCGTGATGCCATCTATACGGTGAAGTCTATAGTAGCAAGGACGCTACTAGGGGCTCCTGGCCTTACTACTAGGAGCAAGGACGCTACAGTACTAGGGGCTCCTGGCATCGCTACTAGTAGCAAGGACGCTACTAGTTTTGCGTCAACATTGACATCTTCATCAGTGTTGTCTGGACGTGCCCGGTGGGTGGGGTGGGGGAGGACGCTATGTGCGAAGTCGTGGGCTTGGATGTGGCGTCACCACCAGAAAGCTTGTCCGGTAGACATGCAGAAAGCAGGTCCGGAGAGGTCGCTTTCGGTCTGGTTGAAAGGTGGTACGTTGTTGTGGCGAAGCCACCAAAAACAAAAAACATGAGGACCCTCTCAGTAGGCCAAGCCTGAAAGCAAACAACCAAATTGCTGTAGGTTTCTGATGGTTTGTGTATGGTCGTGCAACATGGACAGATGCTGACGCACTAAAACACAGGGGCCCTCGCAACGTTGTCACCTTGTTTGAAACCATGCATAGTTAAAATGTATATCTGAGACGCGAGCCCCAACGAATATAAGGTCATGAGAAACTTCAAGGGCTTGAAACTTCAGACTTGTGCTATGCAAGGTTTCGTGCCGGGCTTCTTCGACTCTTCCATGAGTTTTGGTTTGTTGATCGAACGATTCAAGAGTAACTCGGAAACATTTCCTCCGTCTGGCTTTATCTGTGGGTGGCAATATGATCAATATGTGGCAATTATCCGGTGGGCAAGTTGGGTTTGTCAGGTTCTCTTCGTGTCCTTCATATTTTCAACCTGAAAGCCCCATGCCCTGTGGTCTAGCTATCCTCATTCAGGCTTCCATAGACCACCGGAAGGAGAAATTGTTGTTCATATTGCATGCCTGATTGGAGTCGGAGCATATTGGGGCCTACTGTGCGACGTGTTCGATATTTTACCGTCCCGTCCGCCTGCATGCAGTTTTGCGTTCGCTCTTAGTCAGCTGCTTGCAAAGCATGAAAGAAGGAGAAACAACGTTGGGGAGTCTGGGTATGTCCACCTGATGTTATCTGGTCCCCTTACTGCTTTGAAAACACTTGGCCGGATCCAACTTGCAAAGCTCGCCCAAAGCTGAGCAACAAGTCTTGCACCAGGCCCCCTTTCATTTGCTCCAACTTCGTCATGATCTTTTGACACCGATCCTCAGTGCACTGACGAGAACAAAGACCCCAAGCAGGAATTGAGTTCCAAGATGTTCCCAGAGGTTCAAGGGAACCGCAACACTGCGCCCAAGTACCAAACACAACGCCTGCAGTCTAGGAGACTGGGTGTTTCGCGGACCATTCCACAAGTAAACAAAGGCTCAGCTCAATTCTATTCATCGAGCTATGAATAGACAAGATGTTGACACACTTTTTCTTTGTCCTGGTCCTATGCGATTTGGAACATAAAAGTCAAGTGTGCAGAACAGCCCTACTCACACCCAAGTTTGGCTGTTGAACAGGAAAACAAGTGTTGAAACAATTGAGGATGAGGCAAGCCAAGAGTCGTGGATGTTCTGTGCCTCTCGCATACGTTCCTGAAACCTGCTGCAAAGCAGCGAGAATCTATCTTCGAGCTCCTGTGGCTGAGGCCATGATCACCTTTTAG